TCCTTCCTTCCTTCCTTCCTTCCTTCCTTCCTTCCTTCCTTCCTTCCCTCCCTCCCTCCCTCCCTCCCTCCCTCCCTCCCTTCCTTCTTCCTTATTTTTTTCCCCTTACACTACTGTTCTGACTGGGCGAGAGGCAGTAATAGCGAGTGTCTCTGCTCTGCTCCTGCTCTTGGCACTTAACTGTTAGAGCGGATGCTGGCTGTAAATTTTCTTTAGGCACCACCTAAAGTTAAACTAAACTAAAACTTCCTGTTCTCATAGGAATTAGGGTAAGTTTTGCATGTACTGATGCATGTGTCCACATGCTCACAAGGAGATTAAAGGTTGATATCAAGTGTCTTTATCACTCGTTTATGTGTGTACATTTGCACACTAATGTGTATAAATGCTGGAGTGCAGATATCACTGTACACATACACCATAGTGCATTGTGGAGGTGAGAGACAACCTTGAGCATCATTCCTTATCTTTACCTTATTTTAGACAGTCTCACCATACCACTGCAGAAGACAGGCTAGTTAGTCCGGAAGCTTCTCCTGTCCCACCACCTAGTCCCCTCACAACCGTCTGGGTTACAACTGAGCATGCTAGACATCCAGCTTTTTCACAGGTTGAGATCAGTTACTCACACCTGGGTGGCAAACACTCTTACTCAGTGACTGACTCATCTCCCTAGCCCATCTATATTATTTTTTGAAAAGCAGTCTTTCACTAAAACTGGAACTCACTGATTTGGCTAGACTGGCTGGCCAGTAAGACCTGGCAAGACCATTTCCCTGTGTTCCCAGTGATGAGATTCTAGTTGTGTGTCAACTTGGTTTTTCATGTGAGTGCTGGGGATCTGAACTCAAGTCCTCAAGCTTGCATGGCAACACTATAATGCTTTCTATTTAAAATTCTATAAGTTTTCAAACAAAATGCCCCAGGTTTTGTGTTTTATAGTTTATTTTTGCTTTTGTGACTGTGTGTGCATGCTACTCAAGTACTCCATCACTGAGCCACACATTCAGCTCAAGATATAAATGTGCAGATATGTGTGCATTCCTAGTTGTGTGTGGAAGCCAGGGTCGATGTCAAGCGCTTCCTTAATCACTTTGTACCTCAGTTTGTTGGCTCATATTTCCACCCCAGTGCTGGACTACAGCTGTGTCGATATACTCCAGTTTGTGCTGGTATCCAAACTCAAGTCCTTATGCTCACAAGGCAAACATCTTACCAGCTCAGCCATGGCCCCAACCCCAAGATGTGTTAGTACTTTAAGATTTCTACACTCACAGTCGAAAAGGAATGTGGCCTCTGATTTTCTCTTCTAGTGGCCAGTTTTGTGAGTTAAGGTTGTGTACATTGGGAAGTATTCTCTGCTGATCTATTTTTTCTAATAATGCATGTATGATTTGGGTTACATAATTTAGAAAATTCACCAATAAAAGTTACCTGAGTTAGTGTTCTTTGGAGGAAAGTTTTAAACAAAATACTCAAATTCTGTAATAGGCTTATTTATATTTTGTTTTGAAAACAAATATTCTGTTTTTCATGGAATTTTCTCTTTTCTTATTGGTGGTATACACCTTTTCATAAAATCCTTATAATAAAGCCTAATTTCTATAGCAGTAATTTTCTTTCTTTTTTTTTTCTTTTCCTTCCTTCCTTTCTTTCTTGTTGTTTTTGTTTTGAGACAGGGTTTCTCTGTATAGCCCTGGCTGTCCTAGAGCTCATTCTGTAGACCAGAATGACCTCTGACTCACAGAGATCCACTTGCCTCTGCTTCCTGAGTGCTGGGATGAAAGGCACGAGCCACTACTGCCCAGGTTAACAGTTATTTTCAGCAGACCAATGCCTAAAAGACTTCAAATTTTTATTTGGTTCTAAGATTCAGGATAGAGATGAAAAAAATTATCCCTATGTTGCAGATGAGTCAATCAAGGCCCAAGGGAGCATCAAAATAGCCAAGATCACAAGGTCATTCACCAAAAGACATTATCATGATGCTCCCCGGGATCCAGAACTTTCTTTACTTGAATAAAACAATGAAAACATTTGTTTCTTTCACAAAGCATCATGACATTTCATGGATTTATGCAGCAAGGCTTATTTTCCTCAAATCTACAAGGAGCAGGAATGAGTAGACTGTGATGTGCTCTGGCCTTCTCCTGGCTTCCTCGGTTATCTCACTAGAGTTGGCATTACCGAACAGTCTGATGGCAGAGGGTGGTTTTTCCATTTACAGAAGTTGCCACCGACATGCTATAAGGCTGCTGTGAACAAACCACAAAAATCAAATCTTCAACTAGGACCATAGTTTCTTCAGTCACAAAGTAAGAAATAGGCCAAGTGTTTTTCAAGACTTCCGTCAGCTTTAACCATAGTGAACCCATATTTGTGCTGATTGTGGACAAAAGGCCTTTTCGTCTTCTTGTGTGTACTCTGGCCAAACACAGTCATCTCAAAATACTCCAGGGGTCTTGGTTCCAGGACCCTGCCCTCAAAACCATGAGCATTTAAGTCTCACATAAAATCAAATAGCATTTGCAGATATTTTATACATTTTCTTTAAATCATCTCTAACTTCCACTGTTCAATACAATGTAAACACTATGAAACTAGTTGTTATATTACATTAGCTAAGGAATGGCAAGAGGCCATTGTCTGCACATACTAAATACAGATGTATTTTTTTTCCCTGAATATTTTCAACCAGAGTTGGTTGAATCCAGAGATTCAGGACTTATGATAAAGAACATTAATTGTACTGTGTTTCCCATATTGTTTGGATTACTTTCTTTAGTTCCTTCAATGGAGATTTGTATAGAAATAGAAATGTCCAATATACAGTCTAATATAGAAGCCAGTAACTACATGCGGCTACTGAGCATTTTAAATGTGGCTACTGTAACAGAGGACATTATTTTTAACTTTATTTGTCATTAAATTTAAACAGCAACACAAGAATACTGACTGTGACGCTGGGAAGCACAGCTATGGAGTTCTGGGTATATGCTGAAGAGGCATAATCTCCGCTCTCTCCTTAAATGTGTACAACACACACTTAATAGAATTCATGAAGACAGAATGTTTGAAAGCAATTGATTACATTTTCTTCTCTAAGTTCTCATTTTTCTTCTGTGCTTCCCATAGGCAACATTACTATAACCTTATGTTTTTATATGCAGTAATTTTAAGTTTTGTGAGTTGGTGCCAGGGCTCCCACCCTCAGGGTATTTATGAGTACAGCACACAGGAAGGTGTTCATAGACCAGAGTACCTCAGAGCCACTTTGTTTCTAATTCCAGCATTTATACTCTGCTGTCTCCACATACCTTTACCCCTACCACCCTGCCTTCCCTCCCCCCCCCTCAACACAGAGAACTCTAGGAAAACACTGTTACCTTCTTGTGCAGGCCTGCATAGCAGAATGAAGGTCAAGACATGCATGGAGATGAACAGCAAGAAAGGTAAGCGGCTGCTGGGAAACACTGCAGTCTCAGCACCCGTCTCCCTTGGAAACTAGAGAAAGCTTGCGCTGCCACTGCTACCCAGCAAACCAGAGGCAGAGCTTGTAATTTGCTAAGAACTGCTACTAGGAAGAAGGAAAAGGAAGGGGAGGAGGGTAAAATCTTGGGCCTCAGCAAGCCAGTGCTGCTAATAGTTCCCAAAATACCATTCCATTAGATGCATATTTTATATACTGTGCCAAACCAATCAATACTCCTTGTCATTTGACAGAAGGAAGAGGAATTCTTCCTTATGTGAAAGAAGACAGAGCAGAGAGGTGCAGCATTCCCATTCTGGATGTCATTTCATCTGCCCTTGGGCTACCCTAGCTGCGGCATCCACCCAAGTGAGCTGTAAATACTGCTTCGCTGGTGGCTCAGGCCCAGCCAGCTGGCACATACCAAGAGGAAAAGAGACAGATAAAAAAGAACACATGACAGGAATGCAAAGACAAATTTCAATGCTCTATAAAGGGGTTAAGCCTGGACGGAGGAAAACTGTAAGCACTGCTCAGGTTGAAAAGCTATCTAAGGATCAGGAAGATTTCTACACCTAAGATTGCTTTCTGCTGCTGTGATCAAGTGCTGACCAGAAGCAACTTCAGGGAGAAAGTTACAGGTTACAGTTAGAGTCTACCATCTAGGGAAGCCAAGGCAGGAAGTTAAGACCTGAAAGCAGTAACTAAAGCTGAACTGCAGAAGAAAGTGTTTACTGGCTTGCTCCCAGGCTCTCAGTCATCTACCTTTCTTATGTAACACAGGGCCACCTGCCCTGGGGTGGCATTGTCTTCTGTAGGATAGGCCCCCCTCAATCATTTAGCAATCAGGAAAATACCCCACAGACATGTCTATCAGCCTATCTCAGCTGAGGTTCCTTTTTTCCATGAATATATAGGTTTGTGTCAAACTGACAATAATTAACAAGCACGCTAGGAAATTCTATGTGTTAAGGTATGACCTGATTTCATGGTTATATATAACTGCATTTAGAGGATTATGCACCATTGTGAACACTAATCCACCACTGACATCAGAGCTGAAGTTCAAGCAAGGAAGCCACACAATCGGCCCAGTAACCAAAATGAAAAAAAGGGAGAGACAGATACAGAGAGAACACAAAGGAAGGGGACATTTCCAAATCTAGACTGGTACTATTAGGGACA